TGCCCCTACATGGGGTCAGGGCCGTAGCCATAGCTGCAGCTGCTGCTTGCCACCTCTGCACCCTGCCATCTCCCCTCCTATAGTCTTTCTCCCCACCACCCTCCCACACAGCCTTTGCTGTCCTGCTTGCCCCTCTCCCTCCCCTGCCGTTTAGCCTTGCTCTGTACTGGCAGGTTCTTCTGAACACAGCCCCAACCCAGCCCTGCTGTGGTGGCATGCAGCATGCAGTCCAGACAGCTGCTACAGGGGCTGAGCTCACTGCCTCAGGTTAGAATGGGATTGGAGTCCACTGTAATGGAGCAACCCTCCAATAATTAGGTTCTATATATGGAACATTATAACAAATGTATACATTTTTCATGTATAGAATCTGGGGAGTTCATCTTAAGGTTGTCAGAGGTACAGGATGTAGGAATACATTGAGTCTGTAGCATTTTCTTGATTTACTTATTTATTTATTTATTTCCCCCCACCATTTGTGACCTGAGATCAGAGCCTATTGCTGGTTAGAATTCCCCACCACATTCTCAGCAACCTAGAAGGAGAAACTGTGTGAGGGGGGGAGCGGGTTCCATTCCTCTCCTACTCAGTGGCTTGTGCAAACTCTTCCCCCTCGTGGTCTCTCTAACTTTCTGCCATTGCACCATACTTCCTTGGTATGTAATTTCAAGTACATTACAGTAATTCACCGCCTCCTAAACACAAAGTCCTGGCACTGCAATGGTGTTGCTTCATCTACTTAGCTCTGTTGTGTTTGTTTTCACTCTTCTGAAATGTGCCGTCATGCAGCACACTGACATTGGTGAAGTCTGCCTTTACACTAGTGCAAATACAGTGCATACAAATTATGTACAGCTCTGCACCAGTGAATTATTGTATTCTGGCATTACCCCTCAGAATGCTGAGATCAATTCTGTGCTGGTGCAAGTTACAGTAGTGTACAGGCTGTGATGCACTGTAGTCAGTTTTATCTCTATCCCTTTGTACAGTGTGGACTGTTATCGGCTCCCCTGACACCTTACGGTGAGGCACCTGTAATGGCACATTCTAATTAAGAATTAAGATTGAACAACAGTTTTCTGAGACTTTTTTCCCCCCACTCCAGTTCAAACAGCTATGTGGACTTTTCTCCAATTTTTCTCTTCGTTGTTTGTTTTTTGGGGGGGACAGAGGCTAAAGTTGGGAAATGCAGATTCAAATCATGCTGGGCAGGCATCTTCTATTTCCTAGCAAAATGTTCTAACCACCTTGCCATACCAGATCACCTCTTGAAGCTGGCCTATTGTACCTGCCATTTAATATTCTTTGGACATAAAACCGCACTGGGAATGCTTCAGATTCATTAGGAGCAAGGGCCCAGACTAGAATTAAGAGACCCCTCCATTCTAGAAGGCATCTCCGAGTTGTGTACTCTGGCTTGTTCTTTTCTTCTTGGCTCCGCATGACTCCCTCTCTTGGCAAATAAAAAGTAAGATGCCAGTTGCATTGGCTTGTACGCATGCTGTTTTGCATCCTCTTCTAGGTGAGCAATTTGTAGTGGTTGCTTCAAGGCTGTGAGTGGGGAGCAGGGGAACAGTCCCTGTGTCATGGGGCGTTAAAGACTCTAGCCTGGAAAGCATTATCACTCCTGGTCTGGAGAGTACTCTGGTTGCTCTTATGAGTGGTACTGGAGAAGTGCAGAAGAGAACCAAAACCTTCTCCTTTTCTTTTTCACTGCAGAATTGCCGCTGCCACCCCCACCCCCTCTAGGAGAGGAGATGGCACTCTCTCCAAACAGTGCTTTTCCCCCTCCACCACCACCCTTTGAAGAACCATTCCCCCCAGCCCCAGAGGAGGTTTTTCCTTCTCCTCCTCCTCCACTCATGGCTGAGGGCCTTGGGACTGGAGTGTCCATCCCACAGGTGAGCAGAACCACAGCTGGTCAGTGGTTTCAGTTGGGCCAGTTCAGTTCCTTGCTTTGGTCTGAGCATGTGGGTTAAAAGACAGTATTGCCTAGTATTGGGACAGCTTTTCTGTGCGTGCAGAGTTCAGCAGTGGGAAGATGCAGAAAGTGGGAGGGGTCCAGAGCTCTATCACTGCAAATACTGGGAGAGAGAACAGAGTGCTCTGCTCCTGGGGAAGGCATGACTTGCAAACATGCTATGGAGCAATATACCCGGAATGTGTACTCCTCACTGATCACAGTGCTTGGAGACCATGTGCCTAATCCCCATCTATCACCTGAACCTCCCTGCATACCCTAAACCAGCTTCAGTTTTGTTCCATGAGCCCAGTCCCACAAAATTCCACTGCAGCAGATAGCAGGGGAGGGGATACACCTAGGGCTGTGGCACTTCATGTTGGGATGGTCCCTGCAATATACTCTGTTGTTCCTTCCTTCTGCATGATTGGTGGCCCAGGTACGTGGGAAAGTGAGCAGCATAGATCTGGAGATTGACTCTCTGTCCTCAATGCTGGATGACATGGAGAAGAATGACCCTTTCAAATCCCGGGTGAGCTGCACCATGGTGCACTGAATTGAATGGATCAGGTGTGAAGGGAAGGGGTAGCCAGTTGATTTAATTTGCAGTATAAATGGGAGGCTGAATGAATATTGTCTTAGTTGGAAGTAGCTAACCCAACTGTAGGGGGAGGATGCATAGAGGAGGGGAAAAAAACATAAGTTCTACAACAAGGTTGTCAGAACCTCCGGATAGAAGAGGTGGGGGTTGGAGTACAGAGGAAAGAAGGGTTCTTCTAGCCTTCTGGTGGGGGGTATGTGTGTGTGTTTTGTTTTATCCCTCAGCAGTCTGAGGGAATGGATTATTTTTTGTGCTTTTATATGAGATCTGGGATTGCCACTTCTTCTCTTCCTGAGGCACAGTTTCCTGTGTGCTTCATGCCGAGGGTGTGGTGTGTGTGCTCTCTCTTTCTTTTTCTTTCTCTCCCACCCCCCGCCCCCTAAAGCATGGTAGACAACTGCTAGCATGACATGCTGTCTCTCTCTCCTCCTCCCCCACCATTCTTCCCTTTTGTAGGCATCTCCTGGATCTACAGTTCCCCTGAGAACACCTGCTCTTAAAAGCCATGTGGAAACTATGTCTGCAGTGAAAGATCCTCCGGTTCCTGCTTCTTTCCCCCCCAAGATCACACCAAAACCCAGTGGAGGCTTCACACCTAAACCTCCTGGGGTGGATGTGGCCCCTGCTTCAACCCCTTGGGCAGCACCAGTGCAGTGCAGAAAATCCCCAGCCACAGAGCCACAAGTGCCAGCCCCAGTTGCTCCTCCTTTACCAGCCCAACCTGCTCCTAAATTCAACCCATCGCCCACTGTAAGCTCCCCCAAACTTGGATCCAAACCAAGTGCTAGTGCTCCAGGTGTTCCCCCTAGCTCCATGAGATTTAATGCTACTGTTCCTGGCCAGACCCGATTTACAGCCCCTTCAGCTGGGGTTTCAGCTCCAAGGCCACAGCCCCCTACTTTTGCCTATGCCCAGCAGCGAGAGAAACCCCCAGTACAGGAGAAGCTGCGTCCCACAGGACAGCCTACTACTGTCTGTGACAAGGTAAGGAGAGGAGTGCTACATTCCACATGGCTTATAGCAGAAAGAGTATCCCTGGGGGTGGGAGGGGGAAGGATGGCAGAGGAAATTCATTGTGATTTTATTGAACAGGAATGGCCAGGCAAGGGCTGTGGAAAGGACTTCACTTGTTCACCCGAGGGGGGAGGTAAATAGGCAAAAGGTGTGGGAGGTTATTCCCTAGAGTTACTGTGAAGGGCAAGAACAAAGGGGCTCCTCACCTACCTGTACATGCTGTCAAGGGTTGAATATTTCCTTCCTTCCCACAGCCAAGAATCCCTGGAGGCACTGGCTCTGAATCTCCCAGGGGTAACTCCTTGTTGACCATGAAGGAGGTGGAGGAACTAGAGATGCTGACACAGAAGCTCATGAAGGACATGGAGCAGTCGCCACAGGTGGAAGCTTCAACTTCTGGTAGGTGTGTGTATGCATATTTCCCCAGTGGAGCACCTGGGGTGACAGCAGTTATTTCCTATCTCTCACCCTCTTCTTCCTCCCCTTAGCAGAGCTCTGTGGCTTTTGTCAGAAGCCCCTGTCACGAACTCAGCCAGCTGTGCGTGCCTTGGACTGCCTCTTCCATGTTGAGTGCTTCACCTGCTTCAAGTGTGAGAAGCAGCTGCAGGGGCAACAGTTCTACAATGTGGATGAGAAACCCTTCTGTGAGGAGTGCTATGCTGTGAGTGACTCCTGGGATGGCAGATCAGGGTGGGGCTCCATATAGGCAGGAAGGAGTGGTCAGGAGGTCTGGTAGTGGTGAGCTTGGCCTCTGTCTGGGCTGCTCCCACTGTTGCACTTGGCTGCTTAAGGACAGATTGCCTTGTCTGTCTATTTTGCCACCCCTGTAGCAGTACTGTTGGGCTGGGCTGATCCTGTCTTGAATCGCCTTTCCTTCTCCCCAGGGCACCCTGGAGAAGTGTAGTGTCTGCAAACAGACTATTACAGACCGGATGCTGAAGGCCACAGGCAATGCTTATCATCCTCAGTGCTTCACTTGTGTGGTGTGCCACTGCCCTCTTGAGGGCACTTCTTTCATTGTGGACCAGGCCAATCAGCCCCATTGTGTGGATGACTACCATAGGTAGGTAGGAGACTGCACATGTAGTCATTATTTCCAAAGGAAGGAAAGCTACCTTCGCTGCCACCTGATGTACCTGGCCTTGCCGAAGGGCAGCCAGACTCCTCACTTTTATTTCTTGCACTCTTCGTTCAGCTAAGTCCCTGGTGGGAAGGCTGTCCCATAACTTCTTCATTGAATTCTGGAGTTGTGAGTGTCTTCTCTCCTTTCCTGTGTATTGTAGAAAGTATGCCCCCCGCTGCTCGGTTTGTGCTGAGCCCATCATGCCAGAGCCTGGGAAGGATGAGACTGTCCGTGTGGTGGCACTGGAGAAAAACTTCCACATGAAGTGCTACAAGTGTGAGGTGATAAGGTTTCTACCACTTTTCCTGCTCCCCCTGCTCTGGGTGTTCAGTGAACTGTATCCACTTTCATGTTAGCTGTCACTGACCATTGTGTTGTCCTCTTCTCCCCTCAGGACTGCGGGAAGCCTCTGTCTATTGAAGCGGATGAGAAAGGTTGCTTTCCGCTGGATGGGCATGTGCTGTGTATGAAGTGTCACACCACACGTGCCAAAGCTGTGCACTGATTTGAGGCACACCCCTGACACAACTGCACCCTAAATTGCATTTCCTTCCCCACAATTGTCCAACTGTCTGCTGTGCAGGGCACATTCCTCAAGGGACTCTGGAGAGTGATAGCTTTCATCATATGCATATTCCATTTCCAGCCCCTCCCTTCAAGCACTCGTCGGGACAAGATTCCCTTCCACAATCCCCAATTCCCTACCTGCAGTGCATTCCAGACTGTGGGGAGTAACATGGAAGTTGCAAGAGATCGTTCTGTTCCCATAAGCTGCCCTTAAAAGGACACATCTTAGCAGCCCTAGAGAAAAGTGGCTTTGCTTCCAATTCTGTCTTCACACTTTTGGCTCACTTGGTGAGAATAAAATACCTGATGGCTGAGAGGTGGTCTAAAGCTCAGGGTACGTTCTGCTCTTTGGAGTAGAAGTACAGTTATTTGGCATTGAGAGTGACAAGATGATGGGTACTGCCATCTGTTCCTTTTTCCTGCTGGCTCCTATAGATGCGCAGGGAGCCTGCTCTGACATGCTGGAAATCCCAGCACGTTGGAGTAAACTTGATTACCCGAGTCTGTTGGAACATGAAAATTTAATGCGCTCTGGCAGCCTTCTCTGTCATGTGTATCACCATCCCCATGCTGAAAAAATGGTGGTAGGGCACTTTGAAATAAAACACGTTCAATGAGCTTTAGTTCAAAGTGCCCTGACACCATTTTTTCAGTTTGGGGACACTGATGCACCTGATGTGTGGGCACTTTTTTTTTTTTAACTGGCACAGCTTGCTAATTAAAGCACCTGGTGCTGCATCCCAGAGCACGTGTAAAAATGCCCTAAGATACCACTCTGCCCTTCCTTCTTCCTGACTTCAGACTAACACAGTTAACTACCTCTCTAGACTGGAAAATGTTAATAGCTTTCCTTTGATGGATCTTACTGGCTGGGTTAAACCATATGTAGAAGTTCCCTATGTTTAGGGAACTTTCACGCTTCTTTCCAAAAGTTAGTTGCTTCCCAGTTCCTGTCAGCCATTTTTATCTGTGGCACTTGGTCTAGCCACCTCCTGAGAAGCAAAATTTATCAGAAGTCCTGAGAGTGCATTGTGGGGAATGGCCACAGGGCACAAGGTGAAGATCTGGTAGAAGGGTGTCTCTTCAACTGGTGAAAACTAATAATCAAAATGTACTGGCTGACTTTGCCTGTCACTGTCTTGAGCCCCTCTTTCTGGACTAGAGCCTCTTGGGGACCAAACAGGTATTTTACAATGGATACTATGTTGTCTAGCCACAGACATCTAATAAAACCTTTTCTTTTTTTTTCCCCTGTCGAAGCATCCTTGCTCCGTCTATCTACTTGCTGCATGGGAATTGTTGTTCCACCAACTATTTTCTTGTTTGTTACCTGAACCCCAGGGATATGGATTCTGCTTCTGTATGGCAGAGGAGAGTAGCTGAATTTCCTAACCTGTTATCTTCCTCAAACTGTCTAGACTTCCACCAGGAGTTAGATGCTTATGATTAAGTGCTTAGTGGAATTTTCTGTGTATCTGGACTGTTAGTTGACTAGATATATTTGAAAATTTGGCCCTTAGGATGTTCTACAATAATGAGAGTTAACTGGTTCCTTGGACTTCTTCCAATAGCTCTTATTTTGTTTTTGGGTAAGTATGGTCTCACAATGCTTCTGCTGCTCTTATGTCATAGGCTCTTGGTAACTTACTTAAGCAATTCAAATGAGTTCCCTCCATCATAATCTAGCTGCTGGTCCACCTATAACTGCAGCACTGGGTTAAGAAATGAATTCAAACTGGGTTTTTTTCCATTTTTACCCATCATTTTGAGTAATGACCATTCTTAAGGGCAACTTGGGCATTTAAGTGTGCAGACAGGTTCATCAAATAATTCTGATGCATCAGAGGAAGAAGGTTCCAGAAGTCACGCTTTGTTTTTTGCTTTCTTGCCTGTAAGACTAACAGGAATGAAAATCAGGAAAGTCTCTTTTTTTGTCACTAAAATTGGCAGCTATGACTAATAAACAAAGAGCAAAGCTGTGTACCAAAGAAGGACTATTTTCTCAGTTACTTTTCAAAGTATGATCATGTTATGAAAAGAACAAAATACGTTGTTTCTATACTTGACAGTATATTGGGTGCATATAGTCTTCTAATTTCTGAGATTAATATGTGGAATTTGACTTTAAATTCCTGAATTTTAGGTACCAATGGAACTTGTTGTGCAGACTTGGGCAAATGAAGTGATTTAGTAAATGCAGAGCAACTGATTGCCCAGGCATTGCACTGCCAACTTTGTCTGTGGGACTGTTTGTCATTAGGGCAACCATGCATAGTGTATGCCTGGGGTGTGGGGCTGGCCAATGGGCCAGATCTGGCCTACATACCGCCCTCCTTCCCTCTCCCTTTCCCCTTGCTCATTCCCTTCCCACAGCACACCTGAACTGGTGGCTGTCCCAGCTGGCCTGAGACCTACACTGCAGCACAGATAATGGAGCAGCTAGAATGAGCACAGTACCCTGCATGTAGCACAGTCTGGCCAGAACAGCTGCTGCTCTGCACATGGTGGTTGCCCCAGCTGGACTGCACTACTTGCTGTGGGGTGTATGCTGTGCATGGTGCCTGCTCCAGCCAGTCCGGGGCCCATGCTGCATGTGGCCTTCATAAGTGCCATGTGCAGTATGCATCCCAAATCAGCTGGAATGGGTGCCAGATGCAGTGCAGTCCTGGAGCTGCTAGGGTGGCCACTGCATATAGCATAGCGGCACTGCATGCAGTGTCTGTTCTGGCTGTCCTAGGATCTGTTCCCATGCAGGGTGGGTCTCAGACTTCCTGAAGTAGCAACTGGATCAGGTATGCTGGGAGAGGGGGAAGGAGCTCCTTGGGCCTGATCCAGCTTGCAGACTGGCCCTATGTCACTAATCTGGACCACAGCACTGAGTGAGTTTAACAACCCTGATTTAATGGTTTAGATGGAGGTGAATGCGCCACACTAAGTTAGGTATATACTGTTGACAGTCTTTCAAATAGAGGTTGCATACGATCAGAAATCCAGCAGCTCTTGGTGCTCACTCTGCTACATACATAGCCTAGTTTTCCTGTATTAGCCCTACCATCATGTGATAAGCTGCTGACACCATACTCTTAATTTGGATGCAGAAGGTCTCTGGTTCAAGTCTGTATGCATCACCTGTACATTTTAAGAGTGCCAACTGTTGTATGATTTTGTGTTAAGTCATACTGCTTTCAACCTCTGGGCTGTGAGACTGGTTACACACATGACAGGACATATTTTGTTGATTTAATGCGGATTGCTCAACCTGCCTGCAGGCGAAATGCAGCCTGTGCCGTCATCTCATGTGGGGCTCCCCACAGATCAGGAAATTTTGGTGGCAGGGGAAGTGTGACCATTACTACCAAATTCCTAAATCCCAAGCTAAGCCTTCCCCCTGCAGGGCTGGGTTGGGGCCTGGCCCCCCCTTCTTCCCATCTGTACCCTTGTGGAGGCAGGCCACACCCCATTTTCCCCTCTTCCACAAGGCCAGGCTGTGGCTGGGCAATGCCCCCTCTTCCCCTGTGGGTCTGAATCACCCACTTCTTTCCTTCCCTCCCACCCCACCCCTGCTGCCATATTCCCTACGCTGGGATGCCAGGCTCAAGCAGGGCTGCTCTCAGTCTCCACTAGATGGCTGGATGGTGGCCACTGTTCTGGCCCCAGGTGCTGAAATGGAACCAGTCTGGCCTATTATCAGACCAGGTATTGGTCATCTGGCTTGGTGGAGAAAAAGGTTTTTCATCACTGGACTAGTGCAACTGAAAGCTCAAAAGTTGTATCACCCATGTATGTATATACAGTGTGATATACTACGTGCTGGGGCAGGTTGTCAGTGTCCCTTTTTGCTACGACAAATAACATTTCCCTCTGGACACTTAGAGCCAGATTCTATTTCCAATGTTTAGAGCTGTATGTGGATTTGGGCACCTAGAGTGCAATACCATTCCACCCTGCTTAAATCCCTGAAGAACAGTTAATACAAAAGGTTCATAGATTCATAGATGTTAGGGTTGGAAGGGACTTCAATAGATCATTGAGTCCGACCCCGTGCATAGGCAGGAAAGAGGGTTGGGTCTAGATGACCCCAGCTAGATGCATATCCAGCCTCCTCTTGAAG